AGGGATATGGAAAAGTAAGTGTCAATTTATATATATATACAGTAGGGCAAAAAAGCATTTAGTCAGCCACCAATTGTGCAAGTTCTCCCACTTAAAAAGATGAGAGGGGCCTGTAATTTTCATCCTAGGTACACCTCAACTATGAGAGACAAAGTGAGAAAAAAAAATCCAGAAAATCACATTGTCTGATTTTTAAAGACTTTATTTGCAAATTATGGTGGAAAATAAGTATTTGGTCACCTACAAACAAACAAGATTTCTGGCTCTCACAGACCTGTAACTTCTTCTTTAAGAGCCTCCTCTGTCCTCCACTTGTTAACTGTATTAATAGCACCTGTTTGAACTCGTTATCAGTATAAGAGACACCTGTCCACAACCTCAAACAGTCACACTCCAAAATCCACTATGGCCAAGACCAAAGAGCTGTCAAAGGACACCAGAAACAAAATTGTCGACCTGCACCAGGCTGGGAAGACTGAATCTGCAATAGGTAAGCAGCTTGGTGTGAAGAAATCAACTGTGGGAGCAATTATTAGAAAATGGAAGACATACAAGACCACTGATAATCTCCCTCGATCTGGGGCTCCACACAAGATCTCGCCCCGTGGGGTCAAAATGATCACAAGAACGGTGAGCAAAAATCCCAGAACCACACGGGGGGACCTAGTCAATGACCTGCAGAGAGCTGGGACCAAAGTAACAAAGGCTACCATCAGTAACACACTACGCCGCCAGGGACTCAAATCCTGCAGTGCCAGACGTGTCCCCCTGCTTAAGCCAGTACATGTCCAGGCCCGTCTGAAGTTTGCTAGAGAGCATTTAGATGTTCCAGAAGAGGATTGGGAGAATGTCATATGGTCAGATGAAACCAAAATATAACTTTTTGGTAAAAACTCAACTAGATGTGTTTGGAGGAGAAAGAATGCTGAGTTGCATCCAAAGAACACCATACCTACTGTGAAACATGGGGGTGGAAACATCATGCTTTGGGGCTGTTTTTCTGCAAAGGGACCAGGACGACTGATCCGTGTAAAGGAAAGAATGAATGGGGCCATGTATCGTGAGATTTTGCGTGACAACCTCCTTCCATCAGCAAGGGCATTGAAGATGAAACGTGGCTGGGTCTTTCAGCATGACAATGATCCCAAACACACCGCCCGGGCAACGAAGGAGTGGCTTCGTAAGAAGCATTTCAAGGTCCTGGAGTGGCCTAGCCAGTCTCCAGATCTCAACCCCATAGAAAATCTTTGGAGGGAGTTGAAAGTCCGTGTTGCCCAGCGACAGCCCCAAAACATCACTGCTCTAGAGGAGATCTGCATGGAGGAATGGGCCAAAATGTGTGAAAACCTTGTGAAGACTTACAGAAAACGTTTGACCTCTGTCATTGACAACAAAGGGTATATAACAAAGTATTGAGATTAACTTTTGTTATTTACCAAATACTTATTTTCCACCATAATTTGCAAATAAATTCTTAATCAGACAATGTGATTTTCAGGATTTTTTTTTTTCTCGTTTTGTCTCTCATAGTTGAGGTATACCTAGGATGAAAATTACAGGCCTCTTTCATCTTTTTAAGTGGGAGAACTTGCACAATTGGTGGCTGACTAAATACTTTTTTGCCCCACTGTATATATACATTTGGATCCCCACTTTTATGTGTCTATACAAGTCAAATATGTGCGCATATTACTTTTATCCATGGTTTTATAGGTTTGTGATTTAGTGGCGTCTCTGAGGCAGAGAGATAACTGGCCCACCCCCTGTTGTACCCCCATGCGATGCAACTATTAACACTTCTGGAAAATGACAGGGGCTTCACATCTGGCTTTGAAGAGATGTCTCGCGGAAGACAGAGACATCAAAGACGTCTTCAAAGCTAGTTTATGTTTGCCCACTCTTTTTTTTTTTAAAAGAACATAACATCTCCCAAAGTCTCAATGTGTACAATTTGAAAACAAGAATTACAGAATAATTCAAAGTGGAATGTGGGAATTTCTTGAGCTTTTACTGATCAGTTTCTACTTCCTAAAGCCTTGTTCTCTGGCAAAAATCTATGGTTTTGCCAGAGAACGTTACCGTATTGGCTGTTTTTAGAACACACTGGAATTATTCCGACCTTGATGCAACTTTTATTTAGAGATAATGCTGGATTTAGGTCTGTTGAAGCCAAATGTTAAGAACATGCTCACACTGTAGTGGTTGAATGATGCAAGTTGGAGCCATTGTCACTACCAAAAATGGAAAAAATAATCTGTACTCCAAATGACTGTCAACAAATGGTTGCAGAGGGTTGCCTTTTTATTGTATTCTGCTTGTTTCAGTTGTATCTCCTCATCCACTTCTTATCAGTCATTATGAGAGTGCTAGTGGTGTGGGGGTCGGCTTTGTGGGGGTGTATGCATGTATTGGTCATCAGTTTTTATTTTTATTTGAAGCAGAACAATGCTCACATTAATGCACACAAATAGCAGCAGCTCAGTTCTCTAACCCTGGACTCCGAGTGTGTTAGTGTGTACTGCGTGTGTGCCTTTGACACTACTGTAGAAGAGTTTTTATGTGGCCCTCATACCGTGTGTATTGAGCCGCGTTGTGGTTCACTGTGTTGATAAGAGGGCCTCAGACACTGGGCTGGACAGGGTCTCCCCCTCAGGGGATTGGTCCGGCCAGCGCAGAGGCTATATTTAGCCATGATTCTGGGAGACAGTGACGTCTCTGTTTCATACCAGTCATGCCCTGCAACCATTGGGGTCACTTAGTATGATTTTACGATTTAAGATGACGTGGATTTCAAACACACATAATACAAGAATGATTACATTGACACCAGAAGGTCACAGATGAAACCAACAAATGACTTTTTGCTCCTGGAATTACTCAGAATGACAACCTTAAAACTGCTTACCATGGCCACAAAGAGTTGACTAAACCAGGCCTCGCACTAGATCCAGCCTAGAGATAAACATTAACACACTAACAGTACTGCCATGAAAGACAATAGCACCAAAAGCCCAACACAAACCACCTGTCAGTGAACACCTGACAAACATTTCTAAGTGCAAGTAGTTGGAAGTTACCATGGTTTTGTTAGTTTAAAGAAAGTATACACAATTTTCATAACGTTGAAGATAATGCAAACTAGCACTGGTGTTGGAAATTGATACGATTTATTTGATACCAATGACATTATCCATTCTGCTTATGGGTTCCGGTTCTTTATTGATTTTCCTATTGATTCTAACCAATTTTCTGTATGGAAAAGAGTAGGCATTCAAAGGTTTTTTGAACCAACACAGCAGCTTTACTTTCTCTACGTTTGAACACACTGTAGAATGTGTGCACAGTTACATTTGAGCAGTCATGTATAAAAATAAAAATATTTTTTTCCCTTTTTCTCTACTTTTACTCCTTCTTGTTGGAAATTTCCAGCAGTGTAGGCGTCAGAAGTTTGATGTCAAGACACATGAGTTTTGGCAGCTTGCACCAATCAGAAACAGAACATAAATAGACCAAGACAACAGCTTACCATACAAAAAAAAAAAGTCACGAAAACGACACTAATATATAATTTCCGTCCATGGTAAAACTACAATGAAAAGTGTATCATGTGTACAATTTAAGGATCACTTGGATCCCAAAGTTGCAAAACTATTCAATATAATTTTAGCATGGCCCTCCTGCCCAATCAAATCTATGACATGGCTGCAGACCATGCTGCAGACAGAAAAAAACGTCCTAATGTGAGCCTCTCCAACAGGAGACGTTTTAGACTACTACAAAGCCAACTTGAAACAGATGGTTTGACAACGTCTAGCCAACAACACTGGACAGAAAATGACTTCTCAATTGTGAGCATTTCCTGCTTGTATCCGTTTGATATGATTGTTCAGGGTTCAATGTTGAAATAGTTTTTCCTCCTGGCTGGGCGTGTGTTAGAAACAAACGTCTTCTTGCCCCTACACAAATGGCTATATATACTAGGTTATGATTCAAAACAAGACTAAAGGCAATTGTTTTCTTAATTTTTTTAGATGATATGAATCGGAACAACATCACAGTGATTCATAGATGCAAAGCCACAAACATGGCCGCAAAAACAAAGCCTTTTATCTCAAACTTTTGACAATCCGCGCAATATATAGATGGAGTTTGGCCCACATCCTCTAACAGCACCCAACTAAACTCATGTTTCCAGGAATTGAAAAGCTCACTTGCACTTCAGCTAATGAAATGTGTCTTCAACAGCCCCATTTTCAATCATCATGATTGCCTTATCATTTGTTGAGGTGCTGGTTAAGAAGTGAAAGCAGCTGATGAGTTTTGAGACGATCCAGCTGTTGCAGCAATGAATCCCAGCAGCTGAAATCAGGACAGAGTCAGTATCTATATTATAAACATACCATCAGCAGAAGTAATGCTGAGCAAATGCAGGATGAGAAGAAGAATCTACAGTGGCCAGCCACCGTGTACACTTCTGTGAAAGAATGTGTTGTCAGTTACCCCCCCCCCCCGAAGCCCCCACCCCCCCGAACCCCCACCCAGTCTGTCTCTGTTCACAACACAAATATTGAAGGAGTAGTGAACAGGGGAGTGTGTCTGTTTAGGACACAGGGTCTTTTTTCTGCAAGTGGGAGTGTGTTTGTGCCTTGCATATTTTCTCCAACAGTGCATGTTTGTGTGTGTTTTGAAAAGCTGCACACACACACTTGCTGCAAGGCTAATTCCCACACTTGTTTCAGTGTTTATTCTTTCCTATGGTCCATTTAAAGTTGTCACGCTGCTGATTAATGGGCGATGGGGAAATTACACTTAATTGAATGATAAATATCTGAATTATTAGTAACATTTTCCCAGGTTAAAAAGTTAATTTTCATTATTATCGATGGTGTGATGTGAGATATGGCTTGTGGGCGTTCTGAATGTCATCGAAGTATATTTGTCTTTTGAAAAATGTAGTTTTCTTCATTCTTCATTATTTATTTTGTATTTTCTTCTTTCAGGGACATAAAGCCCGACAACATCCTGCTGGATATGAACGGCCACATCCGCCTGGCAGACTTCGGCTCCTGCCTCAAACTCATGGAGGACGGGACGGTAGGTTTTTTTACCACACTACTGCTGAAGCCTCCTCCGGTCCAAAGCAAACATACCAGAGCTTTTACTGACCTCCTAGTCAACCCCTGGGGGTCTCACAGGAGGGGTGTGTGGTTCCGCTGCTCGGCTGGGCCTTCACTTTGTGATTCAGACAATCCTCGGAGCAAAAAGAAAGAAAAAAAGTTACATAACGGAGAAATGACAGGATGAAATAGATGATCAAAGATGTTCCCCAGTGTCTTCTTTCAATGATAATATAGTGATGAGGTTATATGACCATTTGAACAAATAATTGAAGGGCTTGTTGGACCTTGTTTCACATTTCTTTGGAACATTTCCTTTATAAGCTTTGAATCATGATAACAGTCTTGGGGGTTTCTTCTGTATTAAAGCAACTTCCTGAAGAATAAAGAGACAGATGCCAACATCTGCTTCTCTCTCTCACTGTGTATTCATCCAGACAACATATAGCATTCAACACTGCTTTGCTTTTAATTCAGCATCATGTGAATTCTCAAAATTGCGTTAGAAGTTAAAAATGAGCTCCAAAAAAGAGTGTAGCCAAAAAAGAAGTCCTGTTTCCTTTTACTAGAACTCTGGTATTCATCTTGTATGCTTCCAAAACTGCAGACTATTACTCATCATCATAATTACTTTCATTAGCATGCTGGACTTGAATACTAAAATGTTTCCCTTCTTTACATGTGAGATTTCTCCCATTTGTGAGATTTTAGAGATTTTTTGCATCAACTCTTGACTTTTCTTTTATCCCTCTGCTAGGTCCAGTCCTCCGTGGCGGTGGGGACTCCAGACTACATCTCCCCAGAAATCCTTCAGGCTATGGAGGATGGGAAGGGCAAGTACGGGCCTGAGTGCGACTGGTGGTCCCTGGGCGTCTGCATGTATGAAATGCTGTACGGCGAGACTCCGTTCTATGCAGAGTCCCTGGTGGAAACCTACGGGAAGATCATGAACCACAAGGTGAGCTTATAGAGTTTGAAGTGGATTCTAGGCTGTTACTCTCTTTGTGTCAATCACATGGCAATACATTATTAAGAAACAGTGCAAAACAGTTTTAAAGATAGGATATATAAGCATAAAGGAGAAACGAGGTGGAATTATCAATTGTGCCATGCCTCTAATGAGCACCATGACATCTTGCACAGGAGCGCTTCCAGTTCCCGCAGCAGATCACAGACGTGTCAGAGGATGCGAAGGACCTGATTCGCCGGCTCATTTGCAGCCGAGAGCACCGATTGGGCCAGAACGGCATCGAAGACTTCCAGCACCACCCCTTCTTTGTTGGTACGTTCTAACGTTACTTATGTCGCAAGGTTTTTAGGGATTTAAATGTTGCTTATTTTTCCAATATACGGATATATCTTAGAGGTGTTTTGATCTACAAGTGTGTGTATCATCCTGATTTGGGGGTTCGATCATTTCATAGATTTAATAATATGTTTTAATCTCATTAGCACAACACCCTTGAACCTCCTGATACATGATGTTTGTTATTTCCTATATTTTGTGCAAATAAATGAATGAAACAGGTTTTTTTAATCAAAAACATGATCAAGATAACTAGATTTATAGATTTGTGCCACTGTTTTATGCTTAAAAGTATCCTGTGACCTCTCTTGTGTTCAGGCATTATCTGGGAGAACATTCTCACATGTGAGGCTCCCTACATCCCAGAAGTCAGCAGTCCTACAGATACCTCCAACTTTGATGTGGATGATGACTGCCTAAAGAACTCGGTAGGGGATCTGTTCATATTTTCCTCTCTCCTCGGCTATATAACATGTCAATATCTAACTCTTTTTGTCATGTTTCTAAATCTTTTTTCAGGAGACCATGCCTCCGCCCTCTCACACTGCCTTCTCCGGCCACCACCTGCCATTTGTGGGCTTCACCTACACCAGTAAATGGTAAGTGATAACAATGGAAAGATTATTTTAAGCCGCTGCCTTCATTTAGAATGTCTTTTTTTGGACTCTCTTGCTTCACTTTTCATTGTTTAGAATTGCGATAAGTGGATTTTGCATGTATTTGTATACATTTTGACCAAATAAGGATGAAAACAGTGACCTACACAATCTAGCATCATTTGTAATGAGTCATTATAAATGGACAGATTACCCAGCAAGCCTTCTCATTGCATAGCATAGCGGCGTAGGAGTGTTGGAGTAGCTTCCCTCCCTAATAAGGTGATGCTCAGGACTCGCTGTAGATCCTCACCCTGAAGGCTACCCGTGAGAAAGCAACAAACCCACCGCTTGCTTCTTATCTGTTCAAGGCTCAGTGATAATGTCCCCTTGCACTCTTCCTTTCTTTCCCTCGCTCTCCCTCTTTTTCTCTCACTCCCCATCTTCCTTTTTGTCACTGTCATTCCTTCTCCCCCTCCCTCTCCCCCTTCTTCCATGACTCAACATCCTCTCATCTTTCAACTCATCTCTATCTCTGTCGTCCACGTCTCTTTCCTGTTTCCCCTCTCCTGCTGTTTCCCCCTGGCCTCTTTCTCTCCCTTTTAATAATCCCTTTCATATTGCATTGTCTTATTCTGTTAACACCATTATGTCTATTTTTCAACTCTATAAATGGCCTTTTTTTTTTTTTTTTTCTTTCCTCACTCTACACTCGGCTGATAATGGCTGATGTCACTGCCTCCTACACCTTTCTCCTCACAATCTGTGTTCCTCCTCCACCTCTGCAGTTCCCTATCAGACCGTGCCTCCCTGCGGCAGCTGGTGGGGGATCCGGGTAAGCCGGGAGAGGACCAGCTGGACCTGGTTGTCCAGCGAGGCCTGGAGGACAGCCTGGCCACAGAGGCCTACGAGAGGAGGATCCGCCGCCTGGAGCAGGAGAAGTTAGAGCTGAGCCGCAAACTGCAAGGTAAAGCTGACTTCTGTGGCAAAATAGACTTATTCAGACATCACTGCAAAGCAAGACATGGCAGCCCTTGTACTGGATCTCAGTGTAAGCTTTGCCTGCAGTCCCTTTACCCGTGTGATCTCCCTCTTTCAACACTGTGACTTTCTGATTAAGGCCAAACTGGCCCATAACAAATCTTAAAGAGTCCTTATCAAGCTTTTTGGGGTTTCCCTTCCCTCGATTGTGTTATATAGGTTTTTGTGCATGTAAATAGTCTGCAAAGGCTAACACCCCGAAAGTTCCCTTCAGAGGGTGTTTCTCTCTCAAAATCCCGGGACATTTTAGTTAGAGGGACCTATAGGGCCCCAGTCCTAATGCTGATGGTGTCATTATTCTACGCCCGTAACACTGTGCAATCAACCTGTTCTTCATAATGATCAGTTAAAGCCAAATGTGGTCTTTAGAAAGCATGACAAAGCACTTTACTAAAGCCTCTTTTTGCTGGACCTGTTGCAGAGTCGACTCAGACGGTGCAGGCCCTTCAGCATCCATCAGGCGAGGGCCCTGTTGGGCCCAACAGGGAGGGGGAGATCAGGAGTCTGAAGAGCGAGATCGACATCCTCAAGAAGCAGATCGCTGGTGAGGATTTTCTTAGATTTGGTTTCATACGCTATCAAGTCATATGGGAAATGTATGTGCTAATGACTCAATGTTCAAATGACTATTTAAGAATGGGAAAACTATGCACCTTGATAAAGAAACAAGGCAGCCACAGCAACAAAAAAACGTTTAAGTTACATATTTGATTTAACCCTCCTATTGTCTTCGTTCCCCCCCCCCTTACTTTGGTGTTCTTGGTCAAATTTGACCGGTTCTGTTTGAACTGC